AAGACAATTCCTCTTCACTCCATGCAGCCCAGGCAAGCTGGAAGGTTGGACAGCTATGGATTATGTGATCTTAGTGGTCTTTCCAACCTTACGTTTCTGTGATTTTTACAGGGTTCCTTTGATTCTTAGATGATTTGAAAGGTTGTTCATGGAAGATTCTCAGGGAATATTTGCTTTTCGTGCTGTTTGCATGTGAATGATTGTGGCACAGTTTTACATCTTCAGCAAGCTGTGAATTTGGTATTTTAGGGAAACAACAGGATCATCTCATTATTTAACACCTATCGTTTGAATGGATTGCAAGCCCAGTTGCATGTGATCATGTTCAAGATTGCTGGTTAGCAAAAGTGTCCATCATCTAGAAGCTGCAATTTTTAAATAGCAATATTGTCTCAAACTTAAGATTACTTGAACTGAAATCCAAAAGACATTGAAAGACAAAGTGTAAGGGCCAAGGTTTTACTCTTAATGTTTACAACATGGCATTTATGGTAGAATATAGACTGAGCTTTTTGCAGTTCAAGACAGAAAGTTGGGGGAGATGCTGGCACAGGCTGGGAATCTCAATGGGGTGTTAGTCGCATGGCTGAGTTATTCTGGACAGTTTTGCTGTGGGAAAGTCATCTTTGCTTGCTTACTCTGCTTTTTCAGACTCAATTTTAAGATTGTGTACATTGTAGCACATATAACAAGGATATACATTATTTAGGATTTTAGATTTTGAGTATGTCTTTGAGATATTATCATAGTTAATCATGGAATTGTTTGGGTTGGAAGGGGCCTTGAAGGTCACCTCTTTCCAACCCTGTGCTGTGGGCAGGGTTGTAGCTTCATACACAGAGTGCCATCATTCACAACATACTGATGAAGAAGCAGTCTTTATTTTGTTAATGTGATTAAAACATCTTTCAGTGAAATGATATGTTAGTTCTTCAGACCGTGATTGCACACTTAAGTATTAAATGAACATATAGCCCTGCTTTTCCCTTCTTTAAATGAGTGCTTTAATTCTTTCATGTTCATTAGCTCTTGTCCTTTAAGGTATCTGTTTGTCTTGAAAATACACACATCCATTTTTTCTTTCTCTTTTTAAATTAGTGTTGCATTGACCCCAGTTGATACGTGGCAATCACAGACCTTTGACCTCAGATAGCCGTACATCTTGCCTTGAAATACTTTTAACCTTAGTGTAAGTCTGCAGAAGGCAGCAGCTCTCAACACTGGAGGAAAACTATATAGTTCCCTGTGAGTTATGTTAATGGAGCAGCATCCTAATTCAGAAGCAGTCTTCTTGGAATCTATCCATATAGCATAGCTATGTAGAAAATTATACTCTATCTTGTACAGTTTCCTTAGTTTTGTGTTTATGACTGATTTGCTACTTAAGCAGAATCCCTTTGGACACCTGCCTTGCTACTGGTGAGATCAATGAATTGCTCCCACAGCTCTGTGCTGCAGCAGGGCTGTTATTACAGGGGGAGAAGCACTGATAAAAAAAGGTAAAGGTCTTTCCATCTTTCTGTATCTTGCCATTCCCCCAATAGGGAATGAGAATTAGAAGCTGTTATTATTGATGAGATTTAAGCTCTAGTCATACTTAACAGTTAGCTGTGTTAAGGTTAAATGCTCTCATCTCATTACTGAGAGTGGTTTGCACAGTGTGCTCCTGCATAGGAGCTGTTCTTTAAAACCTGGCAAGGCAAGGGATAATTTTCACCCTAGATCTCAAAATGTATTTAAATAATAAACCTGTTGTTTTCTTTTACCTCATTACCATATTCCTTTGTGGGCACACGTGAAAAGTGTCTCAGATAAGAGATTTTTTTTGCTGGTTTATCTGCCTGGTCAGAAGCATAGGCATGCTGTAGGTAGAGTAAAACTGACAGAAGTACTGGAGGAGGAAGCTGGCTGGTTTTTAGTAGAGGAGCTCATTCTAAGTGGATTTTGAATCATGGTACCAACACAGAGCATAATTTTGTGTCTGTGATAGGATCAAATGCTGGATCGTGCTTTTAGAAGGCAACCGTTATGGATGCACCCAGGAACAACTGAACTTGTCTGATACTTCTCTGTATAGAGGCTTCTCTGTTTAGATACGCTCCTCCATGGCAGCAGGCGTGGTCTGGAGTGAGATTACAGTGATAGCTGTTGATCAGTGACAATTCCAGTTCGCATTGCTCAGCACTGTTGGTATGTTTTCTGTTCTTCATGTCTTCCCTCCTTGAGCTTCTCAGTGCAGGAGCTGCCAGGATGGTTCTGGTGAAATTTAGAGGAGACTTGGGGTACTGCTTCATCCAGGAGAAGCAAGGTGAGAAGGCTGGCCTTGCCCTACGTGCTTCTGAGGGATGGAGCAAAAGCAGCCATGGTATCGAGTTTGAGTGGTGGCAGCTCTCACAACCAGTCTCCCTGAACTGGATTTTTTTACAGCCCTTAACTGTAATAGGGTATAAGAGTGTTGCTAGAGCTATGCTACGGAGTATTTCTTTGAGCCGTCAGCATCCTGGATAAAAACAACCCATCCACTGCTGGACAGACCATCAAAAACAATGCAGCAATAATGAGCCATCACCACCTTGGGTGCCAGTTAGCTTTTAGGCCCATGGGCACTGGAACGTGGAATGCTGCAGAGGCAGATTTCACTTGTTTCCAGGTTTTGTTTGTTACTAGATTTCACAAATGCTGTGTTTTGATCTCCTTTCATATTTTTTCAGGGGGTGGTTTTGTCTCCACTTGTGTAGTTGCTTTTCTTCTGCTAACCTTGAAGTGCCTTTCATCATGTCCTTTTTTCTGGCATAGGAAGTCTCAGTCAGGCAATGGCTGCTACAGTTCTCGTTGCTTGTTTTGGATATAGTTTTAGATCACTAAAATTAAGTTGGCTTTGGGTTACTGGGCCTGTTTCAACCTGCAGGATGTGAACAAAACTGAAAGTGGGTTGATATGATTTCTAATAGCTGAGTGCTTCTGTGAGGGTTTGCTCCTCATATTGTCTTTGGCTGGTGGATGCCTCACTGCAGTGGAAGTACATTGGAGATAGCAAAAAGGTTGTGTTCACCCGTATCTGAGCAACTGGTGTCATCAGTACCAGTGAAGCAGAGTGATGGCTTTCATCAGCAGGACAAGTCCTGTGGGAGATTGCAATATTCTGGAAAAAATATACCCCATGGTCTCTTTTGACTAAATAGTTGTATTTTAAATTAAGAGAAATCAAATCTTCACACTTCTGTATACAAGGGGTTATGTGACCAACCCAGTTGCCTTAAGTCTATGTATCTGGTAGAGATTTGATACCTGCTCGGTGGCAAATGTAATGCAGACAAGCATGCACATCTGCAAGAGTTTACTTTGAGGATGGGAGTTGCATTTCCTTCTCAGCAATGCTGGATGTTTCAGAGTGAGGCGTAAGAACCTATCTAAGCTATTTGTGCATTAAAGAATTAGGGTATCTGAGCAGTCATAAGGAGCTTGAGAATGCCCTAAAGGGCAGGTCTGCTTGGTAATAATCTGCAGAGACTGCAGGAACAGCCATGCAAATTCTTCCGCTGCTTAGCTTAGTAGTAATTTTCATGGCTTTTTTTTTTTTTATTTAAATACAAATACAGCTCCCTTTTGGAAGTCCTTCTAATTGAAGGGTGTAAGGCTTGGGTATCTGCTTTAATTGCTTGTTAAATGCAAGCATGCTTTGTCAATACAGCGAATGATATATCTAAGCACTGGGTTTGCATCCATCCTTAGATGTCTTAGGGTCATATTTTCTTCTACTGAGTGTAATAAACTCACTGGTAAAGCTGGTAAATTGGTTTACCATTATGCAGCTGTTTACAGCAACCCTAGAATAAACATCCCTTACAAAGATGGAGCTACTTGTGCCAAGGAACTTTAGCTGAAGAACTGGGTGCAAGATTGCATATGGAACAGATGCAAACAGAAAATCTGCAGCTTATATGGCACTATACTTTTAACAGGGAGGATTTGTCTCTCTTACTGTTTGTCTGTAGGCCTAAAGCTTAAGCACTCTTTGTAGATGTAGGACAATTTCACTGTGGTTACAGGACCGGTGCTCTTGTGAGATTGTATCTTCAGGTGTTGTAAGTGAATTGAAGGCCTCTGGGAAGAGAGGCACTCAGGTTGTGTCTGGGCATCAGTGCGTTGTACTGTACTTGAGACAGGTCAGGGAGCAGGAGGCCTACCCTGCACATAGCAGGGCGCTTGAAACTAGATGATCATTGTGATCCTTTTCAATCCAGGCCATTCTGTGGTTCTGTACGTAGGGTGTGCTTTGGAAAATGAGTGCTAATCTCTTGCAGTGAGAAACAGACAATGAGTATAAATGTCTGAGTTTTTATAAAATGTTAGAGGGAGAATATAGTCTTGAGGAAGGTCTGTGTGTGGTGGATGTGAAAGCAAGCTGCCAAAGGACACATGCTCCATATTATTGCTATTAAAATACGTAAACACTTTTGATACAATGAAGAGAGAGATGGGAATTGGCTCTGTAGTATTAAAACTTAAATAACTCATGAAAGATGAAACACTGGGAAAAAAAGATCATTGATAGACTAAGTGTGAAAGGATTCATGCTTGTCTTTAGAGTGAAGAACAAGTCACAGCTGCAGAATTCTTATGGAGTTGTGGTTGCTGGATGTAGCCAGGGCTTTGAGCTGGGAAAGTGACAGCTGTAGCATTCAGGAATACATTGTCAAGATGTAAAGCACAATATTAATGTCAGCCTTCAAACTGTTCTTTCTTGAAAAATGAAGGATTTTTTAGTTAATTCAAGAGTTTCTCAATTCTTAAACTATCACATAGTCCTGTGCCAGTGTGGCTTTCATCATAAGGTGCTACTTCATTTTGATTTTTCTGGAAAAGACTGAAGAGAGCACCTCTCATCAAACTATCACTGCCACTAAAAGTGTCTTCAGTACTGAGATGAAAAGAGAGATGGCATATCTTACTGTAATAAAACTTTTGTTACTCAGCTGTATTTTTCTTGTTTTCTATAGATCCTAATTATCTCATGGCTAATGAACGCATGAACCTGATGAACATGGCAAAACTGAGTATCAAGGGGTTGATCGAATCAGCACTTAATCTGGGCAGGACGCTGGACTCTGACTATGCACCTCTTCAGCAGTTCTTCGTTGTGATGGAGCATTGCCTTAAACATGGCTTGAAAGGTAAACTTACTTGAGAGGAGCACTCCTGGCCTGTTTGTTACAGCATAGGAGCAGGAGAGCAATCTAGTTTTAGAAGTCTGGCTTGGTATTCAGCAGAGGTTGAGCAGGGTGTCTGTGATCACAGGTGACTTGACAGGGCACAGAAAAAAGAAAATTTGCTGAAGGTATAATGCTGCAGGTGAAAAGTTCCATTGTTGCAGTTGCTTGTCACTTTTAAAACAGCTTTTCAGATGTGACTCTAGTATAACTAAGTCATCAAGGCTAAAGCTGCCTCCTCAGCAGACTTGTGACTCCATTTTTTCTGTGCTTCCTCAGAGAGGCAATGCATCTTTTGCTGGAAGAGGATCTGCAGCACTGCTTAGTTCTATCAAAATTGAGGATTTTGACTTACTGCAGCTATTACCTTTTGAGCTGCTTTTTAAAATGGCAAGCAGAGCGTATGTTTAACTATGAAACACAGCATTACAACTGCAACTGCTAAGGACTGCTGGTTTTCTTGATTTGCTGCCCTTTCCTTGAGATAAAAAGTGGGGGATGTTAAATTTCCTCTCAGCACATACTTCCTGTGGTGTTTTTTTAAAAGGCTTCGTTCAGCACTGTGGGCAAAGTGCACATGGGCAAAATGATTCCTGTGCTGGTTATTTGTGCAAGGAAGAGGTGTTCATACTGTTCAGCTTTGGTTGTTTATCTGTCCTCTTGCTGATGTCACTACTGCTGGTTTTAAGTTAGCTGAGTTCTCAGATTCCTTACTTCTGCAAATTAGTTTCTAGTTTTAAAATATAGGAGTCACTAGAAACCTCTATGCATCCTTTCCTCCTCCAGAAGAGTCCCTGGAAACTATAGAGGAGTTAGATTCTAAGTGTTGTGGTTCTTTTCCTTGAAATGTAATGGTGAAGGAAAATTACTGTGCACATGTGGTGTGTGACTCAGGAACAGTGGCAACATCCTAGGAGAAATCTTTGCCTCTCTCAGTGAGTCTCGGTTGCTGGATATAACTGGATGTTGTCTTGCAATATTTAGCTTGTATAAAACTACTTTTGGTATGTACATCAAGCCCTTATTGCTTTATTTGAATGATATCAGTAATTGCCACTTCTGGGTATGAGAAGTAATCTTTTGTACTTGCTCAGTAGCAGTGCTAGTAGGCTCTCTGTCAACTGTTCTGATCTTCTGATCATGTTTGAGAATATAAATAATTATATAAATAATTAACACAGGCTCAATGGGCTAATTTTATGTATTTTCTTTTTTTTTTTTAGCTAAAAAGACTTTTCTTGGGCAAAATAAGTCATTTTGGGGACCTTTAGAACTAGTAGAAAAACTTGTTCCTGAAGCTGCAGAGATTACAGCAAGTGTTAAGGATCTCCCAGGTCTGAAGTAAGTACATTCTTTTACTGCGCAAGTGTGCTTAATACCTTACTTTTTGTTGTAAGAGTGATCCTGAAGAAGAGAAGGGAGGACAACCCCGATCTTCCGGAATCCACCTGCTGCTTGCTGTTTATACAAATGGCACATTACTCTTTTTTTTTTTTTTTTCTTCTTTCTTTTTTCCCTTAGTTAAGAAACTGCAGAAGGAAAAGAAGAGTACATTCTTTCTGTATTAAAAGGTCATATGGACAACAGCAAATATATTGCTAGCACTAAATGAATGACAGTAGGTCTTAGGAATGGAGTGAGCCTTTACCAACTCACCTTCTGAAGCTATGCTGAAGAGAAAGGGACTTGGAAGGGAGGTGATTACAGATTACATGCATTTGAGCCTGATAGAGGTAGTTTTTCTTTTAAAATATATTTTGATAAACCTGTAGAGTTTGTGTAAAAGAGAAGCTCACAGAGTGGAGAAAATACTGACTTTTGCTGAAGAGGAGAGAGAAAAAGCCTGTGTGAGGATATGTTGCTTCTAAAAAAAAAAAAGCATAGTCGTTTTAGACATCATGTTCAGACTTGCTTAGTTCATTGCTGAAGAATTGTTAGTATGATGAGGGCTTTCAGCCTAGCAAAAGGAAAAAAGATTTGAGGATGCATTGTATGAATGACAGGACTAAACATCAAATCTTCTTTGCCCAAAAAAAAAGGCGAATACATTTGATAACAACTTATTTCAGTTCATTGTTTAATGATGTACCTTTGGAAAAGTGCTGTTAGTGGTGGACTACATAGGAATCTGTCTGGAACAGCTTAGGGACCAGCACGGAGTGCTAGGAGAGTCACGTCACAGCTCCTGGCTTTTTCTTGTAGAAGAGTACTGGAGCATGACAGAGCGAGACCTGGACAGGCTGGAGAGCTGCGCAGTAAGAAACCAGATGAGGTTTAACAGAAGCAAGTGTAGAGTCTTGCATCTGGGCAGGAATAATTGCATGCACCAGTACAGGTTGGGGGATGACCTGCTGGAGAGGAGCTCTGCGGAGAGGGACCTGGGTGTCCTGGTGGACAGCAGGTTGGCCATGAGCCAGCAGTGTGCCCTTGTGGCTAAGAGGGCCAGTACCTTACTGGGATGTATTAAAAAGAGCGTGGCCAGCAGGTCGAGGGAGGTGATCCTCCCCCTCTACTCTGCCCTGGTGAGGCCTCATCTGGAGTACTGCGTCCAGTTCTGGGCTCCCCAATACAAAAAAGACAGGGATCTCTTGGAGAGAGTCCAGCGGAGGGCCACAAAGATGGTGAAGGGCCTGGAGCATCTCTCCTATGAAGAAAGGCTGAGTGAACTGGGTCTGTTCAGCCTTGAGAAAAGAAGACTGAGAGGGGACCTGATCCAGGTCTATAAATATCTAAGATGTGGGGGCCAGAGTGACGAGGCCGGACTCTTTTCAGCAGTGTGTGGAGACAGGATAAGGGGTAACAGCCAGAAACTGCAGCATAGGAAGTTCCGCACAAATGTGCGCAAGAACTTCTTTACAGTGAGGTGACGGAGCACTGGAACAGGCTGCCCAGGGAGGTGGTGGAGTCTCCTTCTCTGGAGATGTTCAAGACCTGCCTGGATGCCTACCTGTGCGACCTGCTGTAGGGAACCTGCTTTGTCAGGGGGGTTGGACTCGATGATCTCTGGAGGTCCCTTCCAACCCCTACAATTCTGTGGTAAAATAAAAGATGTTTTTTGAATAATTCTCTAAAAAACAGTCTTACATACACATACTAACCCTTTGAAAAACAAAATGTCATGTGTTAGTTGAGGTCAAGACCATAAAGGGGAATGATGAAGATAATTTCCATGTGCAATTGCTGCATATACTAGTTAAGACTGAAAACTGAAATGCTTTACATGCTATTTGCTCTAAGACAACTTACTGCTGGAGATGGAAAAGAAATTTCTTTCTATTCGGAGCTCTGATCAGCATAGGGGATTTATACCTTCCTTTAGAGCATCTGGTACTGGCTCCCAGCCACTATGTCAGGGTGGATGAGCCAGAACAGTGATGCGTCATATCAGTTCTCAGTATTTTTAAAGCTATGTGTCTAAAGTGGTCTGGAGAAGCAAAGGCCATACCCTGTTGGATCCCATGAATGTATTATGAGCAAAATACTTGAACAGCAGTGAATATATGCTTTTAGTTGTCTTTACAGATTCCTAGTAGGCTTAACACACTCAAAGGAGTGATATTTGGACATTAGCACTGAGCTGAAGTGTACACGTGTTCTGCTGACTTGCAAAAACTGAATTTGAGTTAAAAGGTGATTTATTGAAGCAACTGATTTCTGTGCAGTAGCATCCAGCAAGGGTAAAGTCAGGAAAATATTCTTAGTGTGGTAACAAGTATATAATTAGTTATGAGAGAAAGAATAGTTGCTTAGATAATTACTTGCTAAATGCTCTCTGAAGGTCTGTTCAAAACCAAACCATTCTAAGGTTATATGATAATCCTGTCTGTAACTATTTATGCTTACACATCTGGTATATCCCTCTCTTCAACAACATCAGCTCTATTTTAAGATACAGAAACTTGAAACCAAGTAGGGTTATTAATGTCATTTGTGAGTGTGCATTACAGTACATGTGTAATTGTGTTGGTTTTGGCCTTTGTAGGACACCTGTGGGTAGAGGAAGAGCTTGGCTTCGCCTTGCTCTAATGCAGAAGAAACTTTCAGAGTACATGAAAGCCTTGATTAACAGAAAGGATCTTCTCAGGTGAGCCTTGAACTCTCTCTCAGATTGGGTAAGGTTCACTTCTGCCCTCTAAGATCTTCTGAAGAAGTTTTGCATCCAAATGGGAAGGATACGTGCATGTCTCCACAGAAGTGGTAATGTTTGTGAAACACAGTTTCATCTCAGAGAGTAAAAATGCTTAATATTCTTTCTGTATCTAGGAGAGGCAGCATTTCCACCCTTAGTGTCTCAAGTGTCTATTAGAATAAACAAATTTTGTGTCCAAAGAGGCAGTTCAGTTGAAAAACTCTTGCAGACCAATACAGCATTCTGTGTTCACATGATCTTGGCCGTAGTTTTATTTCTGATCTTGTCACTTTATCACCATCTTACTCGGAGCAAGTCAATCAGTCTCTGTCTTTCTACTTCCCCGCTCACAAAAATAGCACTATGTAGAGTAATTACGAGTCCGCAGGTTTGAACTACTATGTTTGTGTGAACTAGTAGAACTTGATAAATATGTTGGTGTTTCTTTACTCAGACATAGGTCTTTATTGACTGTGAAAATCCGTAGCCTACTTTGCAATTTACTTTCCTCTGGAAAATGTGGCAGCTTGTGTTTAAGAAGCATTTAGTGGAGTAGCGAAAGTATTGCTTATTAATAAAACTCCAATATTAAGCCTAGCCTTGAATTTTCACTGCGCTGAACTGCTATTCAGTGTTTGTGCTTTTTTTGCATCACCATTTAACAGCCGAGAGTCCGGATCTCCTCTAATGGGTCTTTGTGTCACCTACAGCTATACAGTACTGAGAGATGTTTGGTTAGGGCAGCAGTACGCTTCTGTGAGAATTATGTCAATTATTGTTGCCTGGCTTTTCATTAAGCCTGAACTTTGCATTGCATTCTGTGAAATACTAGGGCATGCATGCTAGTTGTCGTTGTTCTGGTTGATTTTTAAAAGATGCAACGCTTCTTTTCTCTCATTGTCCATCCTGTAGTGAATTTTATGAGCCTAATGCACTGATGATGGAAGAAGAAGGTGCAATCATTGCTGGCCTCCTCGTAGGTTTGAATGTCATTGATGCAAACTTCTGCATGAAAGGAGAAGACCTGGATTCACAGGTGAGTAGTGTTCAGTTGATGTTTTTTCTACTTACTTAAATTGTAACAATTCAACTTACTGTTACCTCTGAAGTTTTTTTTGCCAATTTGCTTTCTCTCATAGCATATTTTTGCTTGAGCTGGTTCATATTTTCCTCCATTTTGGCTAGATTAGTAGTATAATGAATCCTTGTGACACAGTATGTATTGATGTTTTAACTGAATGACAGTTAAACTTTCACAGCTATGAACAGTGTTTAGTCATATCAAAAGTGTTTAATTTAAAATGCAATTTTTTTTCTCCTAGGTTGGAGTTATTGATTTCTCAATGTATTTGAAAGATGGAAACAGCACAAAAGGCAGTGAAGGGTAAGCACGGTACAACTGTCCTGCTCATCTCTTGATGACTTGTTTTCGAGTATCTTGAGTTAACCTGCAAGCTATTAAGTTTTTCACTAAAACACTTCAGGGTTTGATTTTCATAGAGAACAAATTGCTCATATTTGTAAGTGCATAACGTGTAAATAATACATTGGAAGTGATGGGAGGTAGAAGGACTGAGGAAGTCTCCCAGCCATTTAAGATGAAAATACTTTAAAAGTGACTCTTTGAGTTAAATTTGCCATTCTTGAAAGCATTTTTGGTAAGCAGCTTAGTAACTTTTACCTGTTGTGTATCATAGGACAGGAGTTGGTTTTTAGCACCATAGCATCTTCAGAAATAAATTCTGCTGTTGGAGATGACTGTAATTGTAATAATAATTCAGAGTGCTTGTGTCAGCATACATAAATGCTATGCAACATTTAGAGCAAGAGGGTGAAAAATAAAGTGTGGATATGCTGACACACAGATCATGCATTGTGATTTTTCTGAGGCTTTCAAGAGTATTTCTTCTTCTCAAGAAATTCTGCCACTTCACATTCAGATATATTTTGAATTATTATACCTCAATATCAGATGTTTTAGTTGAAACTACAGATGAAATAAATGCATTTATAGAGCTTTTATTTAGTTAGGATTTCCTGCTGTAAGAGTATGCAAAATACACGTTTGTTGACAGCTTTTTTTGAATTGAATTTGGTGAAGTAGTCCCTCTTCAATATAAATATGGTTCAAAACCAGTCTTTTTAAGTACTGTTGTAATGACTGGAACGTTGTCCAGCTTAATTATTCTTTTAATGTGTCACAAAATCCCTGAATGTAGTAATTGCAGCTTCTGAGAAGTTGGAGGACAGTAACTGATGAGAAGGGCATAGACTGCAACTCAGCTTTGCTGTTTCACGTGCAACACATAGACTCATCCAGTCTTAGGACATTTGGTGCCTTGGTGGATACGTTAGCTGTACAGACACATTTCCTCTTAAACCTTTTACATCATCTCTTTACATCTGTTAATTCAGATATTGAGGTTTGAAGTCAAAGAAAAACTCTGCTATTTCTTCCTTTCGTAGCCTTTAATGCTGCATAAGTATTTATAGTGACAGCTTGCCTCTGTTATGCTGCATAGTATGGGCCAGAAACCCATGCAGGACAATCAGGGTGGGGAATGTGGAGGTAAAAGTAGGCTGAATAACTTGGAGTTGACTCATCTCTGTCTTATAATCTTTTTATATGGTAGAGAAGGCCTTCCAGTCTGCATGGGAGCTTCAGAAATGCTCCACACAGTCAGCATTTGTAGGTATGAAAGGCTACACTCAGGCTGAGTTGAGGGTATTTCTTTTTTCCAGAGATGGTCAGATAACTGCTATTTTGGACCAGAAGAATTATGTAGAAGAACTCAATAGGCACTTAAGGTAATACATGATTTATTTATTTTTTTGTTATGTGGGACTGAACAATAGGAAGCAGGCTTTTAAAAAAGAAGGAATTACTGATGTGGTTTCTGTTGTTTTTTGTTTTTTTTTCCTCTTCAACAGTGCTACAGTAAACAACCTGCAGGCTAAAGTGGACGCCTTAGAAAAGTCCAACACTAAATTGACTGAGGAGGTAAGTGTGATAGGGAAGCACCTGATGTTCTGGCCTTTTTGAATTAGAAATTGAAAAGATAAAGGGAGGATTTATTTTCAGAATTCTGGTGTACATTGTGATGTCTTTTTAAAGATGAAACAGGAATAACTGAACTGCTGAGAATTCAGTTAGCTGCCACTAACTAAATGTGAGATGGAAAATAGCCAAATGCTTATGCTCAAAATCAAAAGCTGATGAATCCACTTTTTTCCTTCTGAAGTCTTCTGAGTGTTCTCTGTTTTGTGGAAAATATCTTAAAATGAATTACACAATGGATGTGTCTTGAATTGCCATACAGCTGAAGTAGGTTGGGGCAGAGACATTTCTAAACTTCTGTTTATTTTGACAGATGCAGAAGTTTACTACTGTGTTGATATTATCTTGCATGCATCAATGAGTTTTCCTCTAGTCTGTCAAAATTTGCAAGGAATAAAATATAAAAACGTTGTTCACTCTGAGCATGGAAAGGCATTGGTACGTGAGTTGTAGGTGTAACCTGTGTCTTAAAATTGGTCTTGCAATTCATCAGCAATGGCATAAATGTAATAAAATAATTTTTAGGTCACGAGTGATAATAGTAAGTGTTGTCCTAAAGGTTTGACGGTGTCTGTGTCAGAACATCACTTTGCTCAGCAGAATGATTTTGATTAGGACAACTCAGGGCTCCAGCAGTACAAACATGAAATAGAAATTCTTTTTTACTTATTCACTCTCATCAGAGAGGAGTGTGTGTCTGGTTCTGTAATACCTTCTCTAAAGGATGTGTTCCATATGATGGGAAACTTTACTGGCAAGTTAGCGTATGTACTCTTGCAGGTAAAGTAAAAAAGGGTGGTTTTTTTTTGTGATTTAAAAGGATAATTTTAGTTTTTGAAAGGTGTCTTAGAGTAGGCTGTGTTTCTCTGTGCTGATACAATAAATGGCTTTTGATTTATTACCGTCCATATTTGAATGCTTTGTCCACTAATCATGATACCCATGAGACTGATTACAGTGTTGACTTGAGGTATTTATTGATCTATATGTTTTTAGTAGCTTGCTTTTCTCTTTGTCAAGTCTGCATGCAGTTCAAATTAAGAATTAAATCGACACTGGGACTTGCTGTGCCAACTGGAGCTGTTTGCAGGATGAAATAGTTAATGAACTGTGTCACATGTCATATCTGTTTGTGTATTTGGCATGAGTCGTACCAAAGGCTCATGCTTCCGTTGGGCTATTTTTTATTGAAATGAGGATTTGCACTGAGTTGTATTAACCACACATTATATAGAGTCTAGGACATAGTGACCTAGAGAACTTAGTAATGTTACTAAAAGACACAAACAGAAGTAGTTCGGGAAGTCACTGCTCTAGTACCAGTGTCATGGATTTTCATTGATGGCTGATACTTTTTCAGATAGTCTGTCCCTATGTTAGGGGCTAAAATTGTCTTTTTTTTACTTGAAATATTTTTTTTTTTCTTACTGGGAATGTTAGCAAACAAGTACAGGATAATCTGTCTGGAGAAGAAAAAATCTGCTAAATATGTTTTTAATATATTAATGTTCTGTTTGTTCACAGCTTGCTGTTGCAAACAACAGGATTATTACACTGCAAGAAGAGATGGAACGAATTAAAGAAGAAAGTTCTTACATCTTGGAGTCCAATCGTAAGGTCAGTACATGCAAATGATGCCTGAACCCGTTGGGCAGAATTTTATATAGAGTAGCTGTTTTGAAGAGCTTTAATTTCCTTATCCATGTCACAAAAAACCTGTAATAAGTAACGGTGACTCCAGGTGGATCCTCTGCAGAGAGTAACAGATGGACGCTGACCGTAGTAAATCCTGCCTGGTGGTAGCTTGTACATGTGCAGAGCTGAAAACTAACACGGCATCTTTATGGCTTGCCAGGTGAAGATGTCAGAACAGACTGGAGGAAGGGTGATCTAACTGAGATGTGGCAAAAAAGCTCAGAAATAGGAGTTCTGCTTTTTTGACCTGATATGCTACACCTTTTGGAAATAAAGGGATGGGATGATAAAATATGTTAGTCTTTTCTCAGTTTATTTGCTGAGAAAATTGGTAACTATGATAGACTCTGGTTTTAGTTTTAAAACCTGAAAGGTATTTTTTCTGAGATTTTTCTAATCGTACTTAGCAATTATATCAGGTCTGAAAATGGTCTGTCTGTCCATTTTAATTATAGGCACTGAATTGCACTGAGCAACAGATTTCTTACAAGCTGCATGTTGCGTTATCTGAATAGAGCCGCTGTGTTCAGATAGTTGCACGGTTTGGTTCAAAAGTGGGATAAGCAGATCAGCCAATGTGAGAATTGTTAGTGTTTGTCATTACATTGATGAAGTTTCTTCATTAAATTAGGTCGCTAAAGACAGAACTGCAGATGGACAGGCACTGACTGAGGCACGGAAACAGTTAAAGGAGGAGACTCAGCTGCGGCTGGTAAGGACAGTGTGAGGTTGAAGCTCCCTACAGTTGGCTTTTTTACATAATTTCTGCATGCCAGACAGCTATTTTTCAGGACCAGCAGCTTATTGTCATTTCTGCCTGTCTACTTCAGTTTGATCTGAGACAGTCTTGTTGGTAGTGATGTTAATTTTGTGGCTCAAAATGGGCAGTGCAATTTTTACATCCCCCATGCAGGTACTGCTATTGCCACTATCAGAAATGTTACTCAGTTACTCAGAATGCATACTTAATCACTCTTTAATGTTGGACTAAAATTGTGAATTTTTTGTCCTTAATTGTTTCTGGTATGTCAAATCTGTAATGTCATGCTGTAACAGTGTAGCACACTTAGGGGTGTTGACTTCATTGCTAAAACACCAGTTAAGAGTGGTTACATTGTTGATGAGGAAGAAAACTGACTGTGCTGTGTGTTTCAGGATGTGGAAAAGGAACTGGAGGCACAGATTGGGATGAGACAGGAGATGGAGTTAGCCATGAAGATGCTGGAGAAAGATGTCTGCGAGAAGCAAGATGCACTGGTGGCACTCAGACAGCAACTGGATGATCTCAGGGCCCTGAAGCATGAACTGTCTTTCAAGCTGCAGGTAAGAAAAATAATTAAAAAAAAAATAATAGAATGAGTTCCAAATAAAAGTGGTGGCTCTTGTTCTTTTCTTCCCCGTCTGTTTGAAAAGTACTGGGTGTGTACTAGAGTGACTGGATATATTCCATACTTCTGTCTTGTTTCCTTTGCGAAATTATCCTTACCCACACTTTTTTCTGCATTTGTTTCTGTTTGTTGATCATGTTGGGCTGGCATTCTTAAGTGCTGGTTAAATTTGATTTGTGTAAGAATCTTTAGGGTAGATAATCCTCTAATAACACGTGCACTGATAGCCTTTTTACCTTTTTCAAATTTGTAAACCTACAGGGGAAATAAAAATAAAAACAAAACAACAAACCTTAACTGAAAGGAATGTTTCCCCACAGAGGTTACCTTGACAGGTGTCTGTTTCAGTTAAGTAACATTATCTGTGGCAGTGGACATTGGATTTTCCCTATTGTGGGGAAGTATATGCAAAGTAGGCATGCTTTGGGAAGGGTATCTCAGTAGTGAGCTGTTCTTTGCTACTCTTCATTTGGGAGTGTGTATAATCAACGAGTAAACAGATGTATGATTGACAAATATACTGAGAAGTTACGCTGGTCTTTAGAGAATGTATAGCTGGAAAGATTATCACGTTGGAAAGGGATAATAGGAAATGAGTGGAAAAGACCTGGGCTCACAGGAAAAACTCCAAGAGGAGCAATCCCCGGAGAGAGATCCTTCCTCTGTGGCAGTCAGCCCTTAATGGGTCTAGGAGAGGTGCAGCCTGGCTCCACCCCTTCTGGTCACACAGCTGAACTGCCTTCACCTGTGCTCCCACGGCTGACTCAGTGCTTCCCTCAGGTGATCGATCAGAGGTTCAGGCTGTGATTCAGTACTTCCCATACAGAGTGTTTTCTCATGGGGGTTTGGGTCAGGCTGCTTTCTAGGCTATGGCAGTGCTCTGTACTCCTAGTGGTACTGTTAAAAGTTTGGTAGAGAGGGCATGAGCTACTGAGGGGCCAAACAGGAAGCTGTAGCATTTTAAGCAATTGTCCCTTTTGGGGAGCTGAAAGAAAATGCTATTTGTTGTGGAGAAAGATTGATGGTAATTCAGAAATGTGCATGTTTCAGTGAGGAAAGTATCTTCTGGTTTTTATGGTGTAGATACTGAACCATTACTGCCTTATTTGAAATATATTACATATATTACTTATACATTACTACATAATGAGGAAAGCAGACTCTTTAGGACACAGAGTAGCACACAGTGCATGGAAACAAATCATAAATTATAGAACAGAAAAATGTTGCTTCTATGCTCCTTGAGCCAATTGTTCCATGCGAAACGTTGTAGGGGCGTTAACAGTTACTGCATTACCACCACTTACAGGAAGCAGATCTGATTATAATATTGACATTCTGTGAGGTCCAAATGTAGCCTGCAGCTGTAGGGCAGGATGCTATATTGACGTGGCATTTGCTTTCTGAGCACCTTCTGTCTTAATGGCTTCTGTCTATGACTAGCCATTTGCCACATGATTTGTTCTTGCTTATTTTGGTTTTACTGATACTTACATAAAACACATTGCTACTTTTTGTAGAGTTCAGACATGGGAGTGAAACAGAAGAGTGAACTGAATAGCCGTTTAGAAGAAAAAACAAATCAGATGGCTGCTACCATCAAACAGCTTGAACAAAGGTAAAAAATGAAACTTCTGCAATTATGATAATAGTGTTTATACTAGTGATAGTGTCGCACTGAACTCCATAGACAAGATGAGAACCTTACTGTGCTGCTAAGACACTGCTAACAGAGAAACACAAAGAGAACAGGATTCAGTCTGAGCAATAATTTTGTGGCATGGTGTGAAGTGTTCTGCATGTTCAAGGGGAGCTTCCATTAAAAAAGGAATGTACTACTAAAACAGTAATTAACACAGCAGCTTTGTTTATCTGTCAGCTGCATATTTGTATGTTACTCAGTCATTGTAAGTCAATTACTATCTCTGATAGTGAGCACGCTGATAAGCATCTAAAGAAGTGCTTGACTATTAATGACAGTATTGCAGTGGGAGCAGGGAGGAGAAAGGTAAAACAGAAATTATTCTGAAGATGCATGATTATTCCTGATCTTTTTGGTACCATTTTGAAAAAAGTACCCCAAATTTTGAACCATTTGTTTTAAGAGCAGACAAATGATCAGGTCCCTATAGTTTCTGAGGAAGATATGCTTGGGGGGAAAAAAAAAATATCACATGAAAATAAGTCAAGGAATAGGCTGATTGTCTGTAGAAGCTGGTAAAAATATCCTGTAAGTATAACATCTATTTGGTCTGAGACAAGTCCCATCCTAATGTCTCTGTTGCTTTGGTGTTATTATATTACATAATTTGGATGGCTTCAGCAATGAAGTTGAATTGATGTGAGGAGCAGTGCTCCTTTTTCCCTTTTTTCTTATTTGGCCAAAGTCTTCAGTCTCTGTGAATTGCCTTGACTGCAGTGGTAGCTCCAAGCCAAACCAAGGGAAGGCTTAGGTCTCAGCATGATGGGCTTGAAATTAATTTAGTGTGTTAAACTATTCATTAAGTAAATGTTCTCATTTTTAAGGTTTGCATTTTGAATGATTCTTAATGACATAGGTCAGTTTGTTTGTAGAAAATTTGTATTTTATGATGCATTATATCTTCTCAGCTAATTGATATGCTCTTTTTCTCTTGCTGTTCTTATTTTTCCATTTCCTCTTCATCCTCATTCTAACTTACTTACACAGTGAAAAGGATTTGGTGAAACAGGCAAAAACCTTAAACAGTGCAGCAAACAAACTGATCCAAAAGCATCATTAGACATTTTTGTGTCTGGTCACCTCACAGCTCTGACATCAGAACTCACGAGAGGAGAACTTTAGAATTGCTAAGATCAACTGTTAAAATGTTAATTGTCACCTAAAGTTGGTTTGGATTTTGCTGAATTTTTAAAACTAGTGAGTTTTTCTTCAGAGATTTAGTTGGATATAAAAATCCCTAACTTTGCCATTTAAACTGTGTTAAAATACCAGCGAGTTGGCCAATAAACACCAGAAAAGCATAAGGAATGTGGCTCTGTACATCCTGGTGATGCATGCCGTATACAGCAGCACAAGTCTTCAACATGTATGGATACTAGGTGCGTTGGTCAAGTCAATATTGCATTGGCCAGCTCTGGAAAGTCAACTAGTTTTCTGTGTTACCCTTTTTGTGAATTAGAGGAGCAAATGCATCCCTGGAAGTTGTTGAAAGTAGTTGTGTGCGTACCCCAAGCCGTTACCCATTCACTTCTGTTCTGTGGGCTCAGCCCCAAGTCTTAAGACAGATGGGCATGGCCAGTAGCTCATCACCACGAAGATCAGCCCTCTTGTAACCAGGACTGCTTGCAATGATTTTGCCTTAGTGACTTGGTGGGGGAACGGGGGGGGACTTTCCTTATTCCTTTAAAATTCATGTGTCCAAAATTAGTAGTTAGGTGTCTTAGAGTAACATGATAGAGTAGTAAGTTCAGTGAAAACCTCCTTATCTTTGCATTGCCTTCTACCTCTGCCATGAATCCCTCTAGACATATGTTGCTGTTCTTCCTTACTGAAGGAAGCTGAGGAGGGGTGTTTTGATAGGTCTCTCCTCTTTCTAGAATGGGAAGTTACATGTTTTACAACAACAACAAAAAATCTGATCTTTATACTCTAGTGTTTAAAGCAAACAAATAAACAAAAAAAAGTGCAGTGCTGGGGAGTGGAAATGGTAATTTGGTACTTGACTGCTCCTTATCTGAGTAGTTGGTGGCTTAAAAGAAGAGTTGCCTTTTACTATTAAACTTCTTTCATTTGCTTCTATGTTTCCACTGCTCAAATATGGAATTTGCTGATGAAAGACGAAAGAACAACTGAAGCTTGGAAACATCTCAGAATGGGAAAAGTAGTTGTCATCTTAACACTCCAGTGCAAAACATTAAGCAACTGTAGTGTGGACAATTATAAATTTAATGTCCTCTTCCCTGTAGCCACAGAAACTCAAGGTGCAGGACTGTTACAGGCTTTACATTAGAAATGCTCCTAGAGATTTTTTTTTCTTTCAAGAGAATAATGGTTGGGGTTTTTCTGAGTAAAATCGAGAGTTTTTTGCTCAGATGAGACACTTACAGAAATTGTTTGGTGCCAGTTCCCCATTTATCTTGTTGGATAGTGCTTCCTGGGGGCAGCAGACAGCAGATGTGACTGAAATACAACTGGGAAAAAAATATCTACTAATTCTCACTAGATATATTTACGAATCTTTGAGGCTCAGCCTAGTCCTCCTACGCAGAAGCGTGTTCCACTGCTTAGCTTGTTTAATGGACTCCTGCACATGAGCAGACTTGGAGACTGGATTTAAATCTTCTAGTGATGCCCAAGTCTCATGCTTGAGAGTATAGACTTAACCTTCTGTAATCTTTCACTAGGAATGCATTTAAACTATTTGGGGGGGAAAAAATGGCGAAAGCTTTCATCAAGGTATCCAAATAGCTAGTTAGAACAGTTAACACCCCTGCCTCTCTCCTCACATTTCTTCTATAGAAATTGGGATTTGGGCTCATTTTGTTTGCTGTCACAACAATGCAAAATAAGACAGAATTAAGCATCTGACAGTTTGATGTCAGGCCCAAAGCATAGAAGCTTTGGTGTCTTAATGCCCAGGCACTTGAGTCAGTGTGACAGTCAGTGGAAGAGACCAGGAAGATGCACTAATTCTAAGTATATTAGCTAACCTATGTTGCAAGTTCCAGCTACATGTGTAAAGCTGAGATGTAACGTACATTAAAATCAAATTTGACTTAAAATTTTGTGTACTTCAGGTTTGCTTTGAATCTGGATAAAAGTGATGTTTTATGTTTTTCATCTAATGGCTGTAAACTGTAGTAATAGAATAAAAAAGAAAAATTGAAAATCGGAGCTTCTGCCTGGTTCACCTACATTTTACTTTTCTTTAAAATATTTTCCCCCTTCCCATTGTTTTTACCATCCCTTTTTTTGGCTTTACCTTTTCACTGGGTTTTTTTATTTGTTGGTTAAAGTCGGTCTTCCTCCCCACCATGGCTTTTGTTTTTTATCACAAGTTCATGTGGCTCAAATCCAGATTGCGGCAGGCGGAGAAAGACCGTCAGTTGGCACAGCAGGACAACCGTCTCTTCAAGCAGGAGTTTGGGGACAAAATCAACAGCCTCCAGCTAGAAGTGGAAGAGCTCTCCAGGCAGCGGTGAAAAGATCTTTTTCTCATTTCTGTTCTTCCTGTGTCTACAAGAAACCAGGCGGGTCGGTCCCAAAATGAGGAAGGGGCTGGAAGGAGATGAATGGCGTTTTATGCGCCAGATGGTGTTAAAGCTAGGGAGGTAGAATGCTTTGAGAGGTAGTAAGGCTTTTGAAATTGGAACTTGAAAAATCTGATGGGAAAGAAATGCAAAAGAACTGAGAGGTCAGCAGAAGCCACAAGCAAAGGTACGAATCTGTATAGGAATGAGTTATCAGAAACAGGCTGCAGAACATCTCTTGAATAGAAATGAAATGTCAAGATGTTCCCTTCAAACGTGGAAATTTCCATGCATATTTGCTATGGTTTGGGCATCTGCCCATAACCGTTTCTTTGGGAATTGACAGTGCTAGAGATGCAGAAGGATGGAAATCACCACCGTAAGTGGTCCAAAACCTGTTTGGGAAGAAGCTTGGTTGATTCTTCATTTGCCCGGAGGTGCCGTTGCGAGTTAACTTACTCTAGGGATCTCAAGTTATCTTGGGTATGTGCTTTGGAGTGCTGTAAGGCCTCTGCCATACAAACTTCTCCAAAATCTAGCATTATGCCAGACTTGTGATGAAATAACGTAACCTTGAACCTGAAGCAGATGATTTGTTGGCTGCTTGTCATCAAGGATGTAGCTCGAAGAAGTCTTTGCCTAGAGCCGATGCTTAAGAGTTAAGGAGCAAGGGAAGCAATCCTGGGTGCTGGTCTGACAAACTGCCAAGATTTTTCTAGTTGAATCCAATAGGATTTTTGCCAGTGACAACTAAAAAGGTGGAAGTGAAATGCAGGGATCTTAGCAAGAACTGTCCGTCTTTTCCTGCTTATCAATGCTGGGAAAACAGAGAAGTCTTCTTATCTTAAAGAGGCACAGCGCTTCTCTGTCCGCAGACATAAGGTATCTTCTGTTCTGCAGCAAGGTTGCTGAAGTGAACAGTGTGGATGTGTTACTGGGTGCTTTTTTCTCTTTTTTTTTTTTTTCTTTTTTTTTTTTTCAGTCTAACATCCCGGCACATCTGCTTTTGTCTCCTGTTTCTCAAAGCTACAGAGGCCACTCACAAAGCCAGCAAATGGCTTTTATCAGAAATCTGTTCCACATCCCTGGTGTGTGTGGGTGAGCTTAGTGATAGCACTAGGTGTGGGTGGGGAATGCGTTTTATCTGTATGTGCATCTAGCACTATGTCTTCAGTTTTACTGAATTAGTGTAGCTGTCAAAGTGGTGGGGTTTTTTTGCATCAATTCATTTTTTTCTGATAACTGTCTTCCTTATGCTAAATTGAAGTGGCAGCATGAAAATAACAGTGCCTACTTTATTGGGGGCTGTTACTGATGTAAGTAAGTGAGATTCTAATGCACTGAGTTGACAGATAGTGGTGAGTAGTGCTGCTTGAATTGTGTTCCTTTAAGAAGAAATGAGGCTTTGTGTGTTTTAGGTTGTTTTTAATCAAATTATAAGCAACTGATTTGTTTTTGAATGCCCACTTGGAGGAGGCCTCATTTCGAGATCTAAGTTTCCACCAGCTTTGCTCACTTCAGTTAGGCTACATAGTTAATGAGACTGCAGTCAAATGAGTTATTTAATAATCTGTTGGAGCTGTATTGAGACTAATGAGGTTAATAATGGAGAGATACATTTGTACTTAACGGAAATGAGGATTCTGAATCTTTTATGGTGCCAGCCTTGCCAGTACATTTACCAGTTCCAAGCTTTTGATTTTAGAGCAAGTGTTGTTCCCTAAGTAGCTATGGCATTTCTGTTCACTTCACTGCTAAGGACTTCAGAAAACAGAGTTGTTTTGGCAGTGCAGCAGTGGAGCTTTCTGGTGCCTCAGAGTAAAGGGTCTGCTACCAATAGCTGGATTTTGTCATTCTTTTCTTCAAGTTGTGCAGGGGCCTCAGATGTGCTCATAGCTTGGTATTTTGTAGGGATGCACAGACTTATTTGTCAGGTTTATTTTCCCCGAAGTGGTGCTAGAATTAGATTAAAAACATTCAGATCCTCCATCCTGGCATTTTGTAGCTTTAATGCACATTAAACAACTTTTTATTGAGAAGCATTTTTTACCTCTAGAATTAGGCTTCAATTGCTTTAGGGTAAAGAGAATGTTAAATAGTTTTAATAATGTAGTGGCTCCTGATGTTGAGTGTTATTAACTTTATTCACAGTTCCACCTTGATATTACAGGAGCCACCTTGAAATCGAACTGAAGCGGGAAAGAGAGAGATGGTCGCACAGTCACCAAAGCAGCCAAGGAAGCAGAAAAGGCCCAAAGAATTGGTTAAAACCGGTAATATGTCTTTTTTTTCTTTTGGTTTATATTTTGGTTATGGTTTCACTTTGTTCTCTCTTCCTGAGCTTTACTAGATATTAAATACGTATTGTTAATATGTCAGAACAAGATGAGCTTTGGAACATTTTTTGCACACGCCAAATAGTCATTTGGTTGAGCTTTAAAAAAAAAAAAAAAAAAGAAGATTATAAGCATTACGCTGAACTGCAGAACAGATTTCCTCATTCAGGCTGGGTACCTGACCAAATCTTGCCTGTGGTGGTGAGTTCCTTCAATAGTTTAATAAAACCAAGCATAAGGCACCTCATCTAAAGAAAAGCAAGCTTGCTCACTTGTGATTTTTGTGTCATAAAAAGGGAGATTCTCCTGGAAAAGCAATGCAATTTGGAAAACAAAATCATCTTTTGAGGGCATCACAAGTCACTTGCAGTGCTTTTAATGCATTAGCACATTGATTGTGAAAGTGGTAAAAAAGAAAGTGAAGTGGTAACGTCATGAGTAAGATTGATAGTCCCCAAGTGAAACTCCCTTTTTAGAAGTCATTTGCCTTTGAAAACGAAAATCTGCCCTACAGCTTTTTCTGTAAACTGAAAGAGGCTCTTTTGCTGGGAACTGGCAGTTGTTTAGGAGAGCAATACTCATAAATTTGAGAACTGTGAAATAGCAGAGGTGGCTTCCAAAATTCTGATGTACATTGCAGCACTTGAGACTTGCCTTTATTGGACTCCCCTGGGCTGCTTTAACCATTCCTTTCTGGTTTTGTTTCTTTTTCCCTTTTCCGTATCCAGTGTTCAGTGAAGTTACGTACACATCATGATAACTAGCTGCTTTTTTCTGCTGCTTGTTTGACAGTGTGTCACTGGGTGTGGAAGTGGCTGATGGCGAGGGGGGAACAGTGAGATCAGTATTCTTCAAATACAGAAGTAAAGTTTGCCTCCTTTACTCAGCAAGGATGATCCTGCTGGGAGCAGATGGGGCAATGTGCAAAAAAAAAAAAAGGAAAGGAGTTTCATAACAGATTTTTCTTTTGCCACAAAACTTGTAAATGGTTCTAGGTCCAATGGAAGTTTGCATTTTCGAGAATGTAAGGGCTTCACTGAGATTATAGTTGCAACACCAGAACTGTGCATGCATTGGTCACTGCCAGCACTTGACATGTAGGCTGCAGACTATTTTTGACCTGGTTGTGTTTCCAAGTGTTCTTATGTACCTGCCTGGCTCAGGCTATGACCCAGTTCTTAGCTGGGGAGAGGAAGGGAGGATTTTTCTTTCCTTGCTGAGAGGATTTGTTGCCCTGATCAGTCTATACAAACTAATAACTTTAGAAAGTGACTGAAGTTTCTTGTCCTCTAGTAAAAGGAAACCATTGGACATGATTAAGAATCCAGCTTTGAAACTTGAAATCGACTTTTCTTTATAGCAAAAATAAAATACAGAGCTGCTCCTGGGGTGCATTTGTGTTTTTATGCTTTTGTATGCCCATGCCAAGGGGGGGACAGTGTGATCAGTGTTCTCCAAGTACAAAACTCAATTCTCCCTCTGCAGTGTCAGCAGTGTGGCAAAGGTGAACTCTTTGTTAGCATGCTAACATTGTTTGACTGACCGGTAAATCCTTTTTGGTAGGATGGGAAGCTCAAAATCCAAGAGGAAAATGCCAAACTGAAACAGCCCCCGAGAGAGGAAAACAGTGTCCTGCCAAATAAGTATGGAAGAAAGTGCATCTCATTTTTGTCTTCTCTCTTTCTGATTCTTGCTCCTACTTCTCTGATTTCTTTGTTGCTGGATGGGAATTTTGGAATAGCATGATTTCCCTGGCTAAGAAAGCATTTCAGCCTCCTGCCCCATTGTTAAAATCTCTCCACATTTTCAGATTGTTGTGATAGGATTTGTTTGGCATTTGGAAGGTAAGATGAAGATTTGTTTTTGAATGTGAAGATACGTTTAAAGACAAATAGGGAAGAACTCTGTAATGAGGGTGTTGCTTAGAGACAGCTTTTTTGAACTACTCTCAATGCCAGTGACAATGTGCCCTGCTCTGACAGTGTGCTGAATGCTGATAAAATGGTGATTGGAAAAGTATTGTCTTAAAAATATCATAAGCTCTATTCAGGTCTTTTTATTTGGCCATTAAATACCTTCCAGTCTTGTGCTTTTTGCACCTGTCTCAGTGTGTAAGCTATGAACATTGGTCTGCCCATTTGTCTGGAAGTCTTCGTAACAACAGAACACAACCATTCTCTGTTCCCAGATCTAGAGGATCAAACATTTTGCAGTCATAACTTCAAAGCTACTTCTAAACTGTGTGTGCTGTCTAAATTGCTTTTTCCACATTCATGCTCCCCTTTTTTCTTCTCTTCTGAAGTCATTTTACAAGCATTTCTATTTAGCCAAGAGTGTGCTGCCTCAGCTGGCAATATTCATTCTAGAGCACCAGTCACTGCTGCCTCTTTGCTTTCCTGTTTGATGAAGCTTATATGTGCTTCAGCTCTCATGTGTGAGCAGGCTTGGCAGTGTGGTTTTGAAGAAATAAAACCAGAAATGAGAGCAGGTAGGGTTTTAATAACAGGATGAAGGGTCCTTTGATACATAGTCCCTGTGTTTTTCTCATAAGTAGCAGTGTGATTGAGGCACTGGCTCAAACTAATGATGGTTTTCTCTTGTAGGTTACAGAGCAGCACTCAGGAGGAGCAGGTTGGTGATGCCTTTTCTTGCATTCAAATACTAGTGAGTGTGCTGGGGGAGCTCCTGGGTCACTACAGTGCTGCTTATCTCAGTAGAAAGGCTTTTAGTTGTCAGCGCTGCATTTATGCAAGTCTATTTCATTCCCTCAACAAAAGTGTGTTATTTTGGAACTAATATTAAATCCTTTTGTAATTCCTTTGCCCCATGCCTTTTCTGGGTTAGTGTCTTGAAAAAGAACAAGGAAGGCATAATTTTGTATTTTGTGAAAATGGCAGTGTGTAACATCCTTGGTCTGGGTTAGGGTTTTGCAAGTTCCTTTGGAGCCTAAAGGGGAAGAGTTATTTGTTTGTGTTTGGTTGGCTGCCTCTGTGTATGTTAAATTGACCCAAGCGTGCTCTTTCTCCCTTGGGTGCCTGGCAAAGCCTGGCTAGAGCCACCAACTCTCAACAGGATGCTACAATGCATATTTAGTCCCATCTACCAGGAATTTCTACCATCATCACCAATTATTCCTGGTGAAAAAAGAGATTTTGTTCCCCACAGTCCCTGCCTTGCTGCTGGGCCTAGTAATCTCTGTGTAGGTCTGTAAACAAAGCTGCATAGTGTGTGGCTTGCAGAGCTGTACCGTGCTTCTTGGTCCACCCTTGGAACTCAGGTTTGCCAGCTGGGCTGAGTGCTGAAGAGGAGAGGGTGACTTTTTAGGACTCAGCCTCTTAGTTGATTTTGGTTACTTCTAAGCTTTTTAGTGAGGGACAGCAAAAGGTAATATCTCTATTACAGGTACCCTTCAGATTTTAGTGCAGCTGTCCTGCAAATAAATGTGTTAGTCCTGTGTGGCTTCCTGGTGCACTGTGTAAAAGGGAGGGCTTAAAAACACAACAGTGTGAAGTCTTCATCCCTGTTATAAAATAAGGATCATCCACAGAGCTTTGCTACCAAAGCCATGGAAAGCAGGCAAGTAAAGCAGAATGTGTTGGCTTTTATTGTGGGTTCAGGAACAGCCATCAGGACCTGGAAATGCTCAGATCTGCCAGCTCTGCCAGGAAGAAAGCAGCCGAAGCAAGAAAAAGGTAACTCCAAGGATTTACACTGTCATCTCAGCTGTGTGGTGAATGTGCATTTCCTTTTATTTATATTCTTAATGAGATGGTCAAGGTGTTTTCCCGTGCAGTGTCTGAGATCGATTAGAAGCAAGGATTGTTAACACTTGCAGCTCCACTTTCCTTCATTGATGCTGAAGAGCAGTTTGTAAGGAAACAGTCAAGGCACTCTTAAAAACTGTTATCAGTGCAGTGAACATTCTGGTCTCACTGTTGTTGCGTACTTAAGAGATGAGGAAGCAGGTGTCATTTGGTTGTATTTTCCCCTGGTTTACCTCACCTACCAAGATTTGAACCAGAGGGCTTTGCTGGGAAGCTGGGGACAAACTGCTCCTTCCAGGCAGTGTGAGTGAGGCCAGCTTCTGGCATGCAGGGCTCTGACCTCCACTCTTGCATAGAGATGGACCAGTACCACATTTCCAAATAGCCCCTGGAAATATCTAGGAGGAAGTAAGGGAGCACAGCAAGGTCACCTGGCTAGGGAGCTTTCAGAGTGGTGACTGGTCTGTCCAGTATATTTATATGGCTATAAAATAAATGTGCATCACTTGTGACGAAATGCTCTAGCTGCAACTGGACTGAAGCAATTAAAACTTGAACGCTTCATTTTTGGTAACTCCTACCTACCTTTACTACAAGTCTTCACCTACTCTTTGACATAATGAGCTCCATGGTAGCCTGGTCCTAAGCACAAGGACAAGTTTCTGGTCTTCAGGGCATCTTTCTCTCGTCTAGTAGAGGATTTGAGTTAACTGAAGATTATAGAGAGAAAACTCAAGTTTGTTTTTTTGACCTGTGTCTTTAGTATCCTGTAATTTTTCTGTACTCTTCCTCCAGAATATCTGCAAGAACTGTGGTGGTATCTTCTGTGAAGCCTGTTCAGCAAACGAGCTGCCCCTCCCGTCCAGTATTAACCCAGAGCGTGTCTGCAATCCCTGTCACAAGCAACTCATCCAGCAGTATTCCAACAGTCCCTTGTAGGAGGCAGGCTGCAGAGTGTGGTGAGACCATAAATTGTTGTAGCAGGTGATTGTCTCTGGAGCTGTTCAAGGGGAATTTGAAGACGCTTACCTGTGTTGTTTGGAGGGGGAAAGCAGCTTTGTGCTGTTTTAGTCAAGAGACTGCAAACAGAACACCCTGAGCTTCCCCTCTACAAAAATCTGCCAGCTCTCTGACCTGGGCTTGTGCTGAGGAGAACTGCTTGAGGAATGTCACATCAAGTGGCTGTAAGGCGTGATCAGGCAGCCTTAGGATGCTGCAAGAACAGAGCCCCCACCCAAGAAAGAGCCATGTGTCTGTGTATGCAAGGCAGGAGTGTGTCAAGTGAGGGCATGCTGCTGCTAAGCAATGGCTCACTAAAAGCAAAATGAGAGCATTTTCTAATCCTCATGTCTGGCTGCACTTGAAACACCATTTCCCCTTTTCCTGCTGTCTTTGACAATCTGGCTCAACTGTGCTCCTTCAGTGCCAGGAGTCCAGGTAACAATACCAACGACAACAAAAAAAAGCATTTTCTGACACTGTTCTTTGATCCAGTCCTCCAGCAGTAGGCTTGCTATGCAAATCATTATCAAACAAAGCTGTGAAATGATCCTTTATTTTTAGGGACTTCAGAGAGGGCTAAGATTTTCTTTTTTGGTGTGTGTGATGTTGGAGAACTGATCCACACTGATCCACCACGCAAATGTTTAAAGGCATCTCTGACCTTCCTACTGGAAACCCTCACTGTGACTTTGTGACCACAAAATGGTGGCCAATCCAAAGAGCTACAGAACCTCTATCTTGATGTTCTGGGGGAATAGGAGTTCCAACGGTTTAGTTACAAATTACCATTGCACAGAGGGTTTAAGGCCATGTCTTCGCACCTCTCTCCTTTGTGTACATAAAAAAGTGATTTTAATACAGCTGGTATTTCACTGGTTTTGCATTAGATCAAAATGAAAGTGAGATGAACTCAACAGTGCTTTTCACCTTTAAGATATCCTGATGTAAAACAGTTTTAAAAGTTTTCATACTTTGTGCTACATCAATCTTTGTTGCTGTGACTTCAAGGACAGGTTACTCCAGAAGTATTGGTGACTTCCTCATAAAGCACATATGCTTCACGTCAGTTTATTTGCTCTATCTGATACTGGAAGCCTACTTCAGTCTTCAGGGCCACAGGATGTTTTGTAAACTATAGAAAATTGATGTATTTATAAGTGACAAAGGCATCTGGCTCTAAGCTACTATCCCCTAATAAAATTTGTGTAATTCCTCAGAGGAATTCATTAGACTGGCTGGAACTGCACTAAAAAGTATATCAGAGTTGGGGTTTTTCACATGGTTGGTGCTAGAGTTAGTTTGTCCCAGAAATTTTTCTTTCCTAGTTCCTTGCAGGCCTCAGTGTATTCAGCTGTCCAAGCGCTCCACCTCCCCTCATTGCCCTTCATAGACAGAGCACTAAACAAAGGGGAGCAAGCTTCAGAGTTTTCCTTTTTCTGCCCTTTGTGGTAGTTACCTTGCTGCTATCCTTTAAAGTAGGCAAGAAATTGTGAGTGGTGTTGAAATTTGAGAAGCCTAGAATTCAAGTGTAGGCAAACACTGCTTTCACAGGGTGAGATGCCATCGCTAAGGCACAAGATACCAAATTTGTAAGTTTTGTGTACACATTGGTACACACTTAAGATATTGCAAATTCCTGCACCCAAATCCAGAGAGACTCATTCTGCAGGAGAAAGTCTGACCCAGGCAATTTCAGTGCTGAAGGATTTAACTGGAAACCAGGCACTTACTGTGAAGTAACTTTAATGCTGGTACATCCGAGCAATTTCACTTCAAAGCTCTGAAGTGACAGCTTATCTGCAACCTCTACATGACTTCCCATTGTTCAGCAGGAGTGGCTGCTGCAATTCTTGCTTGAAGAGAAGGCTAAAATGATCTTTATGTCTTTATTCTTTATTCTGCTTATCTTTAAAGCAGAACAGTTCTCAAGCAGGTCCTTTACAGTTACAATATACAAACAGCCCTTTACAGAGGCAGCTGAAAATCCTTCAAAATAGGGCTCTGGTTGCTGTAATTAAAACTGGCATTTGAAAAGGTGTGAGATGATGATGTCAGCTATCTGTGTTCACACACAACTCCTTCCTGATTTCTTTGACTCAGTGAAGGGCTCTGCTTTTAAGTACTGGTTGTTGTGCTTTATGATGCTGCAAATGTTCAAGGCACATTTGCTCACATACTGGTGGTAATGCTGAATTTTTGGGTTTATACCTGGACATTTGGAGTGGGGGGAGCAGATAGCAGTTTTTCTGATATTAATTTTGTTCCACATGTAGTAATAAAAACTTTCTCATCTGGCTCCTGTGTCCTGAGTGGTCTTTCCCTTCTGCTTTGGCTATGGCTATGAAAGTGTTTCAAAACCAGTAGCAGATGCCAACAAAGAAATTAAAGATACATGGCAGCAGGAACAAGGAATAAGCTATGTTTGCTGCCTTCTGTGTATTGGGATCTTAGACCACTTGATTGTTGTTAGTTGTCCACACTGGTGTTTTGTTAATACTTTGTTAGCACTGTGCAGCTTAAGACTAGAACCGCTTTGTCCCGCAGCATTTGCCATTCCTCCAAAACAGCTTTTTCTACCTCTGTGACAGACAGTCTTTCTATGATGTATCAACACGCTTTATTACATGCTGTTACATAAATCCAAATGGTATTTTATACAGCTTATCCTTGTAATTGAGCAGCAACTCTCATACTCCATCTTTGCTTGTACCCTAGGAATGCGTTCACTTTGACCTATGAAGAAAGTAGGGGGAAAAAAAGAGAGAAACCATCACTACTTCATTGCAGCTTATTATTGTCTTTTTCTGAAAATGCACCACTGCATTTTATTTCCAAGTATTGCTGCCAATACTGCAATTGTAGAATTTAGCATTTTTCAAAAAATGTCACCCAAAAGGATAAGATGCAAACAGCCTGTGAGAGAGAACTGCTACGTGCAGCTGAAGTAAGTCATACACAGAGGGGAGTCATACACAGAGAAGCAGTTCTGGGTGCTACTCCTCTACTTCCATGCTAGAGACTGCAGCCACATCAGAAATTCTAACAGGTGAAAACTAGCACAGCTGCAAGGGGAAGAGGAAAATGCAAGTGGAAAAAGCATTCTGGCACATTCCAGCAGGCCTCAGCTGTGCCAGGGTGAGTCCCAGGGAGGTGGTGTGGTGACTGTATAGTGCAGCAACCTCTGCCAGCTCTGGCTGTCACCTCAGACATGCACTGCTACCCCTCTGCCACAAAAAGTTGTTTTTGTGTAATCTGAATGCACAGGCCTGTGTGCCTAGGCTTGATGCCTCACCTCAGATTAGCTGTGATGATCAGCTTAAGCCACTTGCTCTAAATAACAGCCCAGATGCTATTTGAAATTCAAAGTATGAAGTATACTAACAATGAAAAAGGAACAACTGAAAAGAAGGATGCACTCACCAAATCTGAGATCTCGCCGCTGTCACTAGTGGTGTCCTGCAGCCTTTGGATGTTCCTTTGGGAATACTTCAACAGCACCAAACTCTAGGGAACAACATGGGAAAGGTATTTTGCAATCAGAGACTTGCAGATAGGATAATCTGGAAATCTGGTTTTCAAACAATCCTGTTGCATAAGGTACTACCAGTAGCTAGACAAGAAGGGCCAAAGTACCTGGGGATCTACGTCTTGGAGTTGTGGAACTCCTTTCCTCTTTACTTACGCAGCTGTGCCCTCTCCTTAGCCATTGCAGCAACTGCATCATCATAGCTCTCAAAATGCACGTCAGCTTCTCCTGTGGCAACTCCATCGGAGTTGTATTCTAATAGGATCCTTCTGGGCCTCAGAGGAGCAAAAAACTGAAAAGAAGGAAAAACAGGGATCCAAAAGGTGAATGTGGTGAGAAAGAATCAAGAAGAATACACTCCATTACCAGAAAACCTCATGTTTTTGCTCATAACCCACATCCAGCCACGGGAACTGAGCACATGAGAAACACAAGACTCCCTCCCCTTCCAGGTAAAGTCGATGCACAGCCAACAACTAAATTTGATGCATACTTTTACTGCTACTTACATCTATTATGTCTTGGGCGCTAACTTGTGTAGGAAAGCCCCTCACGTGGACGGTGCGTAGTGATGATAAGATGCTCCCAGATGGCGAAGAAGGCCCTGAGCTTTCTGCTGCTTCGCTAGCCACTTCTGTGGAAGGGAGGAGAAACATCATTAACACCTACAATTATCGCTTTCCTTACATGAAGGTTGTGACAGCAGGGTCGTGCTCTCAGCAGCAGACAGCGACGGTGCCTCAAAGAACGCACGCATGCTACAGGGCCAGGCTCACCCTTCTCTCTTTCGGCACTGGAGCCTCTGGTGGAATCCGACTCCCTTTCTTCCGCAGTGGATCCAAGCTCTCTTCTCAGTCTTATCATCTCCTTGCGAAGAGTCAAATGCCTCTGCATTTCACGCTTTGTACTTATATATACTTCTATATATCTAGGATTACAAGGAAACAATTACATGGCACTCCCTGTACTTCCACAAAGAACTCAGGCATTTGAAACAGTACAATTACTGTGCACAATGTTTTCCCGTCTCAGCTCTGCTCACATATTTTCTGTGAGAGCCACAGATGGTGTGTAGTTACAATTTGGGGTTAACTGGCAAGCAGTAGTTTTGAAGAACTTATTTAGATTGTACAGTAACGTCTATGAAATCGCTTTTCAATGTGTAATGAGGCACTCAATCTCATGTATAAACCCACATGCTGTGAGCCAGTTTGTTCTGACAAGATCTTTAGTGATTGGTGTTACACGAAATTCTTTCAGGAGTAACATCAATTGCTTACATGCCAAAGCCATGTTTTGCTGCAGAAATGCAGCACTACTTAAAGACATTCTCTTTCCTGCAGTAGCATGCAGCCTTTTGAACAGCCTTATAAAGGAGTCTCTTTTCCCCCAGTGTACTTCTGCAAACTGCTTATCCTGATTGCTCCAACCTTCAGTTAAAAAATAATAATAATAAAAAAAATCTATATACATCTATATGACTCAATCCCAAAGCAGACTAACTAAGCAAGCAGATACACAAGATGCATAGGACCATACTGAATACTTCAGGGGAGCCTAAGATTTTACTGCTATGAAATTGGTAGGATGAAATGTAATAAGGTGTGCATAAAAGTTGCAGGAGAAATACACCAAGATGTAATGCAATGTTATGAAAATCTAGCAAAATCCCACTTATGCTGCAGAAAGAAATAGTTGGGAAAAAACATCCTATTCCCAAGTTTAGTGAAAGTATAAAGTTGCACTTCTATCTCTAGCCATCTATGCCAGAGCCCCTTACTCAGACCCTCCAATGTTTCAGAGCTGGCAACAGTACCAGCTGGGCCTCACATAAGTTTAACTATTTGGTGCTTAGTCAGACATTTCCACAGAACAGAAGAAATAATGCCACGGAGAAGGGGGGAATGTGGCTATCCATATTTCCTCTCTTCTCAGCAAGAGCAGACACAGTAAGGGAAATAATCTCATGTACAGCCTGACTGAGCTCACAGCTCAGCATCCATGCACCTGGGCTCAGCACAAATAACTTTTCTGGACAAATGACAAAAAATGTTGGCAGCAGTTTTGGAAACTTTGGAAATAGTTTCTTCAGTAGTTACTCAGGTATATGAAGCTGGGTAGGTGAGTCAATTAAAGCCTTGTTCCATGTTCCATCACAACAAAAAAGAAAATAATAATGGCAAAATGTGAATTAATTAATCCCTATTGGAGGGTAGGAAAATACGTCAGGTCACTGAATTATTGGGTATACCTGCAGAACAGTGGCTTAACATGGGCAGGGGGACAAACACAAAGAAAAACTAAATCTGAGTATGAGATAACAGGCAAAGCAGCTGATATTACACTGAGAGGCAAGCTATAAGTCACACCGCATGCTTTATACCAAGTTCTTCTACCCTCTAAACCATAGCAAAGCACCTACCTATTCTCCATGTACTCCTTATGCCTTAGTAGGGCTTTAGCTACCATTTCTGGAGCTGCAAACTGCACATAAGCTTCTCCAGTTTTTCTTTCTCCCCGATAAACAAAAGTTATGTCAGTTATCCGCAAACCTATTAGCAGGATGGGGAGAAGAAGGCATTTACATTGTTAGGAACTTGTGCTATGGCTTAGAAAGACATCTATCTCTTCCCTAACTCCTTGTTTGGGCAAATGAATGTAGCAGTTCCTCATCCTGAAATAAGTTCCATCAGCCAGAATATATATGCATTTTTAACTTTTGAAAAAATTCCTAATTGTTGGTTTTATGTTAGCTTTCGCAGAAGCCTTAATTGCCAGTGACAGCTCTAAAACAGATTGATTTAAGCATTATGTGACCGTTGGTGATCAATTGAAAAACCTACAGCCAGTGACCTTCACATTTGGCATCATATTGGCTGTCACTGAACCTTAGTGCTGGAGAACTGTGGCCATGCCCACCGGCAGTAGGAGAAACGCCAGAAGGAAGAAGTGGTTTCAGTTTATTCTACAACCTGATCTCCTGAGAAATACTGATTATTTCTGCAAACACCAGGAAAGCTTCTTTTCTATTAAGTATATGCAGAAATCAGCTGGCTTGCTTCAGCCCAAAGGGCAGGGAACACACATTCTACTCAACAGTTGCTTGGCTGAGCAGTTCTGCAACAACTAAGCTAGAAGTGGCACAGGCTGCCCAGAGAAGTGGTGGTAGCCCTGTTCCTGGAAACACCCAAGGTCAGGCTGGACAAGGCTCTAAGCATCATGATGTGGTTTAGGTATCTCTGTTCCTTGCCGAGGGTTGGACTTGATGGCCTTTAAAAGTCCCTTCCAACTCATGATTCTATGATTCTAACTATTCACATAAACAAGCCATTATTTAAAAAACCAAACTGTAAAAACCCACTAAACTTAGCTACTAGAGTTTTAACGTTACCATACATTATCTGTTATGATAATATTGCAAAGCCCTACGCTGCACTCTCTTGTTCTGAAGATACCTGGGGCTCTTCCATCTGAAGAGAAAAGGGGGAATCTCATCACTGTTTACAAATATCTAAAGTGGAGTCAAGCTGATGGCAGGTTCTTTTTGGCAGTGAGCAGCAACAGAACAAGGGGCAATGAGCAGAAAATGGGAAACAGGGAGTTCCATATTAACACAACAAAGAACTTTACTGTGAGAGTGATGGAATACTGGAATAGCTGCTCAGAGAGGTTGTAGAGTCTCCTCCGGAGATACTCAAGACCTGACTGGATGCCTTCCTGTGTGACCTGCTGTAGGGAACTGCTTTAGCAGGGGGTTGGACTCAGTGATC